CAGAGGGAGAAGCAGACTCCCCGCTGAGCAGGGAGCCCGATGTGGGACTCGATCCCGGGACTCCAGGATCACGACCTGAGCCGAAGGCAGTCGCCTAACCAACTGAGCCACCCAGGCGCCCTGGTGAGGGGCATTTTAAAAGGAAGACAAGGGAATGGGGAGAGGGGAGAAGTGGGGGCTCAGGAGAGTCAGAAAGGTGAAGAATTACAGAAAGCAGGAAGGGGGCTGGCCCACGTGAAGCTCACCTGGGTTGGTTAACTGGTACTTACGGACGTTAGCCTTCCGCACCCGTGTCAGCTCCAGACCCTGTGTCAGGCTGTCAGCCAACACAGACGCTGTCCACACCATGGTCAGGTTTCATCACGTTATGTCAGGCTATCCTGAGCTCACTACTCACCCCTGCTGGGCCGCCCTGGACTAATCTGTTAGGCAGAGGAAAGATGTGTCTAGGGCACTTGCCCTTTCTGGATTTTGTAACCAGATGAAGCTGGGTTTCAGTCTGGTTTGCCAGTGGGCACAGGCTCTAGCATTTTGTTCTTTGAAAGGACAGGGGATGCTTCTGAGCAAGACTGGAGCGTATGCGGGCACAAAGGGAAGTTTTCATTTCACAAAATAGGCATTTGCTGAAGTACAAAAACTGTGCCTTGTTAATTGCTGTAGATAAAATGTATTCTTATTAATAAGGGAGGGCAGCAATATCAAACTGCTTGAGCGGCAAACCCCAAGATGTGCAATGTTTCAGGACACCACATAGATAGAGAGCAAGTGATGACGGTCTCATCTTGTGTGCCTGGACCTAGCACGATGTTGGAATCGTTCAGTCATATTTATTTTTATGTTGGGAGGAGAGTAGAGTAGTCGATGCCTAGGATAAGCTGTCATTGGGACAAGGAAGACAGATTGAGAAAAAAAGACTTGGCCAGACTAAGTCCTTTGAACTGTTTTTAAAGCTTTCCTATGTCCGCAGGGTACAAGGACTCACCAGTGACATTTGTGTGCACTTTTCTCTTTCTCTACAAAACTTAGTGTAAAGCAGAACACTGGGAGAGCCTGGGACTGACCTCCTCACCGAAGGGAAGAGGGACCAGCCTGGGAGCTGGGACTAAGGGGCAGTCAGCGGCCCAAGGAAGAAGATGGCATGCGCCTTCCTGTAGGAGGCCAGTCCCACCCTACACCCCACGTGCATCTCTTTTGTGCCATATATCGTTGGTACCAGGTAGCAGGTCTGAATTTTATAAATGTAGGTTTGGTTGTCTCCACTCCAAATCCTTTGCTTTATAAATGATTGCTACGTTAACCAATAAACAAACACAACAAAATAAATTTTATTCTAAGATTTTCTGAAAGAACTTCTCCCCTGTTTTCAGCTTTCACTCCTCTGTGTTGCAGATGTGTGCGTCAGTGGAAAAGCTGAGAAGGTTTCTGTACTTTAAGGGAGCCCGTTTTGGAGGAAACTGTACTAGTCAGGGCCGAAGAGAAATCAAACTTGTTTCCAGGAGCAACTAAAAGTGACAGATGAGGAAAAAACATGAGTCCACTGAAGGAAAGGAGAGAAATACATGCCCACAGGGGTGGTCCAGAAACAAGTACGAGCCTCTGCCCTGATGGGCAAACCCCGTGGTCCTCGCTGCTGAGAGCCTGGGGTTGGCTGTGTAATTGCCGGAGATGGGGAAAGGAGAGGTCCAGTCTCTCAGTCTCAACCCCAGATGGGATAAGGAAGGGAATTCGTAGGTTTAGATAATTCTGTGTTCTGAAAAACAAAGGAAATTAAAGAAGAATTGGGTCCTTTACCTTCTCAGCCATTTCTTCCCTAACTGGTCTCCCACACCACCACAGGCCATTCCGTGCATTGAGGCACACGGTGATTGGACACACACACACACACGCACACACACACGCACACACGTATTGACTGTGTACAGGATGCAGTTGTTGTGTGTTAAAGACATTACAAAGTAATTTGTGTCATGGTTCCTGCGCTTCCGGAGTGTACAGTCCGAGGGGTGGAGGGAAATGTCGTAAATGAACCAAGGGTGGAGGGGGGCGTGTGGAGGGGGGAACCAGGGGAGGTGTTGGAGGTGCCCTGAGGGCAGGACGTGGTCTTGAGCCAGCTGCGAAAGGGCAGGAGGGGCCCTCACGCATCTCCAGTCATCCGCCCACCTGGGCTTCGGGCCCACGTTCCTCCCTTACCCTCAGCCTCCTCGGGAACCTGCACTCGTGTGTGTTCTTTAGCAGAGTCCGTTTTTTTTCTTTCAGCTAGATTCTTCCCCCAGGTTTGAATCATGCTTGCTTTAAGCTCCTTTCTTGATCCACTCCTTTTTGAAACACACGCCTCTCTTCTCGCTCTGAGCACCATATTGTCTTGGTTTTCCTTCTCTCTTTCTAGTTTCCTCTTTTTTTCCTTTTCCTAAAAAGGCTAATGATCCTCCAGGCTGGCCATTCAGTGTTCGGAGTTCCGTAGGCCTCCTCCACAGGCTTTCCCTCCTTACGCCCATCCTGTCACCCAGGGCAGCCTCCACCATGCTAAGCACTTCAATCACCACCTGTATCTAGAAGCTTCCTAGGGTTACACATGAAGCCAGATCTCCCTCGTGTCTACTTTCCTTCCTGTCACCTTCACTTGGGTGTGCTCTCTGTCCCACAGTCATCTCCATCTGTCCAGTAGCCAACCACAACCCAGGAGTCACCCCATACTCCTGCCACCCGTTCGGTATCCGAGTCTTGTCAGGTGTATCTCCGACAGCGAATAATCCGTTTACCCCTCACCCATGTTCCCCTTTCTATTTCCTTTCCCACAGTCGTCATCCACATGTGTGTGTGTCATCCACTCTCCTGAGATGTTGTCCTCCCTGAAGCTGGGTCTGACTTTGGTCTCTGCCGGGAACCCATGTTATATGTTCATTAATACTGATTTAGTGCTCGATGCTGTCACTTTGTTTTATGGTCCCGATCCTGCCCACGTGGGGGATTGATGAAAGCGGACACACGGCACGCACTCTGCAGACTGTGGAGTGGGGTCAAGCCAGCGTGGGTCTCGCACACACACTTTAGGAAGAACTGGTAAATGAGGTGACCGTGGAGTGAGGCTCCCTGAAGGCAGGCAGGATTCCAGCAGCCAGAAGAGCCGAGCAAGGGCGTCCAGACCAGCTGAGGCTGCAGGAACAGATGTTCGAGGGCAGAGGAGGGACCCTGGACGACGTCTGTTCCCTAAGGTGCGAGGGATCTACATGGATCCACACACCGGATGCGGGGCAGAGGTCACGACGGCCAAAAAGAAGGTAGTTGGGAAAAGCGGCATCTGGGGGACCCCTGAGCGCCACATGCCTGACAGAGCAGCTCTGACCCCAGCACGAGCATCCACAGAAAGCAAGTTATCTGGGGGGGCTCCAGGTCTCCTACCCCACTGTCACTAGTCGCAAGCGTGAGCATTTCTCTGTGTATCATGGGTTCAGTTCTCATCGTTCTTCCCTCCTCGGTATTTTTCTCCTGGGCGTCGTGCATAGGCCGAGCCCCAGAATGGCCTTGTGCCCGTCCTTCCTTGACGTGAGGGCAGCTCGACCTGCTCTGACCCCCTGGCCTCGGACTTTGGATTGTATACACTATGGCTTCCATTGTTTGAGGCTCTCTTTGGAAGAGAGCTCTCGGGGTTCATCATCTGGTTGTTTGGACACAATTCCTCTTGTGATCCTCTGTCCTCACTCCCATGGTTCTGGCTTCCTTTTTTGCTTTGGTGAGAAATTGTCCTCTGTCCCCTGATGCTTTTACCAGGATAACTAAAGGAAAAGGGTTTCTGTGTTCAGCACTTCTAACAACAAATGTGTGGGTTTTCCACACCAGGCAGTGCTCTCATTCTCTGGGGGCACCTGCTGGGTGTCCTATAATATAAGTCAATTCTGACACTAATACCTGGAATTAGTGCAGACCCCACAGGTTCAGGGCTTCGTCCCACAAGTGGCCCCCACCCAGACACCAAAGTAGTGGGTACCTGAGGTACGCACACTTCTGTTTGACTTAGCTACAAAGTTGTGGGTTCCCATGACCCCCCATATTTGATAATTCGCTAGAATGATTCACAGAACTCAGGAAAACAGTTTGCTAACTATCACTACTGCTTTATTAGAAAGGATATAACTTAGGAACAGCCAAAAGGAAAAGATGCCCAGGGCAAAGAATGTGGGAAGGGACGCAGAGCTTCCTTGCCCTCTCTGGGTCACCACTGTCCCAGGACCTCCCTATGCTCCCCAAGGCAGAAGCTCTTGGAACTCTGTCATTTCACGTTTTTATAGAGGCTTTATTGCATAGATATGATTGAGTAAATGGCAACTGATGAATAACTCAATCTCCAGCCCCTCTCCTCTTCCTGGAGGTGGGATGGTAGAGCTGGAATTCCAACCTTCCACTCATGCCTTGGTCTTTCTGGAGACCAGCCCCCATCCTGAAGCTATGGGTAGCTTCAGTGATCCCCAGAAGCCATGGGTAGCCCCCAGCCGCCAGTCATCTCAATAGAATACCCAAGGCACTCTCATCACTCCAGAAATTCCAACGTCTTAGAAGCTCTTGTGTCGGGAACCAGGGACTGAGTCCAAATATTATGACAAAAGGTGCTCCTATCATCTCTACCCCTCAAGAGATCTGAGATTTCACTAATCTGAAATTCTGGAGCTCTGTTCCAGAAAGTGGGGGCAGAGACCAAATATGTATTTCTTATTAAGTCACAATAATAGTGGGCAGAGTGGACAACACTTGGAAATTCAGACACACCTATGCTTTCCAGAGCTCACAGTTAAAAACTGGCCTTCCCCAACCCACACCCACCACTGTAACCTCTGCAGGCAGAACCTTCAGTATTCCACAGCCAAGCTCTCTGAGAAGATACTGGAAACAAAGTCAATGCAAATTAAATGGCTAACCAGTCAAGCAGGTACTAAGAGGGAACGTCCATGAGGGCACACAATGAACGGCTAAACGTGGGGATCTGAGGCATCCAGTTTGCTCAGAGCTGAGTGACGGTCTGCTCTGTAGCCCAGTCCTGGACCTTTGCTTGGCTGAAGATGAGGTAGAAGACCAAGCCTGACATGTTAATAGAAACTGAAATCAAGAAGACATTTCTCCAGCCAAACTCAGAATCCTGGAAGCAGGAAATTACAAAGTGTCAATGGTCTCTTGGCTCTTGCCCCCCCTATATTCAGAAAGGTCTGGAGCATGTCCAGCTCCCCAGCCCCTGCTCCAGCCTCTGCGGCCTTCCTGGTTGTTCCTGGAATACGCAGGTCATTTCCTGGGCCCTGGCCTTCCCCCTTCCCCTCCGCCGGAATAGTCCTCCTACCAATAGCCATTTGTCTCCCTCCCTTGTCTGCATCCAGTCCTTACTAAATGTTACCTTTCCAGTGAGTCCTTCCAAGACCACCCTATTTAAACTTGAAATCCCACCCCCTCCTCTGTGCCCTGTCCTCCTCTCCTGCTTTATTCTTCTCTTTGCACTTTGCCACCATTCAGTATACTCTATATTTTACTGATTTCACTAGTTTTCCATCAGTTTCTTTCCTACAATATAAGCTTCACCAGGCAGGGACTTTTGTTTGTTTTATCCACTTAAACTGCATGGCACATACTAAAGTGGAATTAACGAATGGATGAATGAAGGGATGACAAGGGAAACATTCAGTTTGAGAATTTCCCTATTAAAAGTCATTTCCTGACAGTATTAGTCAGCTACTGGAAGGGAAACCCCTTAATCACGGGCAAACCAGAATGGTTGGCCCCTCCATACTTTGCAAGAAATGCCATGAATATTGCTATAAATTTTGATGATTAGCATGAAAAACTTCTAAAAACCCCTAAAGTATAAACTCATAAAAATGAACGCTCATTATCGCTCCACACCCAAAACCTGTGGTAATTGCCCGGCATGAGCTGAGCCTGGGGGGAAGTCGTGAGGGGGATCAGGACTCTTGAGCTTTAAGCTGAGCCCCGTTGGGGAGGGAACAAAAATATCTTCAGTCTGACTTCTCCTGAGTAACCTCTATAGGTTTCTCTCATGAATATTTTTGTCAGAGCATTCAACTTCACCTGACTGATTAAGAATCCGGCAACAGTGGAAGAAATGCCTCCTGATAAGTGGCCAAAGACTTGTGATAGTCCCCTGAGAAAGCTGGTGTACCTGAGACAGAAAAGAATATTCCAGTATAAGCAAACCATTCACCTCAGCTTACTTGTTGTAACTCTGTGCTTGTCTCTGGGGATGCCCAGAGTCGACCCTTGGTCAAGCCTGAATGAAATGTACTGACTAGTGATTAGTATAATCCCACCTGAGGGTCTGAGACTCCCAAGGGTCACCTGTATTGACTTGTCACCATTGTTTATACAAAATGTGCAGATGGATGGTTTACATCTAGTTTGTACGTGCTCTTAGTTTCTGCTACGGAACCTGATCTTGCAGCCTTGTTTTTGGGTAAAAAAGACCCCTTATTGGATGAGTCGTTGGCTCCCCTGAGACCAGGGCATCTCCCATGGGTCATGGCGCTTGGTTATCTGAAGATGGAGCATGTTCTACTGACCGTGAAAGGATCCTGGGAGCTACATTTGGAAGTCCCAGTCCTCTTTGATTCTACCTCTATCAGAGATCAGTGTTTCTCTTGCTCTCCCGTTAGTCAAGCTTTACCTTTATTAAAGCCTTAAGTGAACCGGCACCGTAGGGTCCTTCACTGATCCAACCCCATGTGACTGCTGCATTCCCCGATAGAGATATAGGTATGAGTCACCTCCTGTCCCCAGTTGAGCTGTGAGTGTGGCCACTGCCTCCCCATTTTCACCTGGAAAACTGAGTGCATGGTGGTGGACTAGCTTTGGGTCCCTTCCAGGAATTATTTGGATGTGGGGCTGATGCTGACATTTCCTGTGACCTGCAGCACGGATCACCCCCATGGAACTGGGGCATCTGAGTGAGTTTAGGGCTGTGGGACCTGAGCTGAGCTTCTGTGCGGATGTGGTAAAGGGGTCCCTACCGAGGAGCAATATCCAAGAGGTTAATAAGGGCTCCTGTTTGGCAGAAGGTGGTGGTGGCAGAAGACAGTGCCAACAAGCCCATGCTGGTGCTGATGCTGGATCTGACCCAGTACAGGGACACGAGGACCACAGATGGGGCAAGAACCCCTGCAGCAGGAGGACAAACACAGAGTGAATCAAAACCACCCTCAGCTTCCTGCATCCATCCCAGGATCCACCTCAGTCCTTACCGATGGCGGTAGAGAGTTTCCTGATGGTAATGAGTCTGAAGATTTTTCTGGAGTGAAGAAAATCGGCCAGTAGACTGCTAAGGACAGTGCTGATAAAGGCAACACCTAACAGCAGGGCTGACAGGATTCCACTCTGAGGACCAGAGATAAGTAAGGTGCATGCCTCACTTCCCACACCGTGACAACACTGACCCTTGGGTGGCTTGTCTACTTGTATAGCTTCTCTCTATATACATATCTCCTTGAATACAAATTTCAGGTTACTGGAATGAGCCAACACAATTTTGGTGCCTGAGAGAAAATATGCATATAGTTCAATCTGGAAAAAAAAGACCAATGCTCTCTTCATATGTAAAGGTCACCTGGAAATAGATTTCTTAAAAAGAACAAAACCCAGTAGAAAAATAGGCAAAAAACAGGAACAACTTACAGAAAAAGGAAAATAAGGGACTCCTAAACATATTAAAAGGTGTCCAACCTCATAGTGAAAAGAACTACTTTTTCATCGATCAACAGTTTTTTGACCTGATCTACGGAGATGCGGTGGGAAACTGGGTACTTGCAAATATTATCAGTGCCCGATGGAAAGCAATCTGACAATAGATATAAAAGTTTGTACAGCATTTGCCCTGAACTCAGACATGCAGAAACAGTTGCTCAGATGTGTGGCAGATGAGCAAGGTTTTTTGCTCAGAGATTGGAAACAACCCAAATGTCTCGCAGTGTTTCCCATGTACTGATCTGAAAAGATCACAGTCGTGTAATATGCAAAGAGTAGCAGTGTACACAGCACATAATGTTTTGTGTAAAAAAAAAAAGTGACGAAATAAGAAGATATGTTTATGTATGCCTGCATCCCCATAAAGAAGCAGAGGAAGAATATATAAGAAATGAATAAAAAAGAGTTATCTGTGGCTGGGAGTGGGCTGGGAGAACAGAACAGACTGGGGACGGGAAAGGGAGGAAGATTTTTCACTCCTATCTTTGGATATAGTTTTAAAAATGTTGAACCCCGGTTTGATCAGCTCAGCCTCTGTATTACAGTGTTATTAAAGAAAATGCAAGGAAAGAAATGTTGTGTATAATCCCCCAAATGGAAAGGCTTTAACTGTCTCCGTGTCCCAACTGTTCATATTACGGATGAGTAAACCGAAGCCACCAAGGTTTTGTGACTTAGGGAGAAGCCACCCTGAGACCAATCGGGAGTCGGGGCCTCTTGACTCTTCCCAAGCTGAGAAAGCCTGGTCTCAACTGTCTGGTCTCCACTGGTCTCTCCAGTCCTTCTGCCATTCTCCTTGTCCTCAGCCTTGGCCTCTGAGATGGGGAGACCCCTTGGCCTCACAGCAGAGACAAACCGTTCCCAACAGCTGGCCTCCGGGATGTCTGTTCGGACCTCCTGTCCCCTGATGGCCTCACCTGAGATTCTGACTTCGCTGCCTGATTCTGGCCTCCTCCTTTGTGGAGACCTGTGGCCACTCAACCCTTGGGCTTTCTAATCTCGGTACCTCCAGCCTGTTGCAATGCGTGCGCCCTGGACTCCGACCTCTGCTCCGAAAGTCAGCTCTCTGTTGGCCGGTTGGCAGGGGAGCGCAGTCAACATGAGAGCACTGCTTTTTTAGTCCAAACACAAGAATGTAGCAGTCACTCAGTAACCTTGTGAACTGCCGCTAATAGGCTCTGAAATCTGATACACTCTTTGCCACTTCTAAGACCTCCATCTTGTAGGAATTTAAAGGCTCCTGTCCACCCATCAGGGTACCTGTTCATTCTGTGAAAACTCAGCTGTACACACAGGTGCACTTTTCTCTGGATGCATCATATTTGAATAACACATTTTTTAGAAGACCATTCTCTGCAAGTTTTGGTTGGAAGTCTTATTGGGATGTGTTTTCCGCAGATGTTGTTCATGGTCCCTGCCAAGCCTTCTCGAAGGCAGAATTTGTTTTGTTAACACTGTATTGTTAATGCTGCCGGCAGAATATCTTGTTTGCAAATGCTGATTGGATTGAACATAAAAGTTTTGCATCGGTCCCTTAGAAAACAGGACACTCTGTGAATGCCACGCTTCCCTAGAACCGTCCCAGTCTTCCCCAATAAGCAGTAGGTTGCAGTGAGATGATTCAGAATTCACGCAACCAGGATGCATTTCCTACATGAAGGTCCTGGGCCTAATCCCCTGATTTTGTGGCTGTAAGTGAGACAGAGGATTATATAATGAGGCATTTAGACAGAAGAACAGCATGGGCTTTCTCTATACTTACATCTCTGAGGTTAGCTTGAAGTACAGAGCTGATATATGTTGGCATGTATGCCATCAAAATATTAAAAGTCCAGAATCCGGTGAAATAAAAGACTAAAATGCCCCAAAGTGGTAGGGATTTGATCATAGCCTTAATGGGAAGGGACCAGCCTGGTGAACAGTCCTGGAAGAAAGCAGATATCAACACCCCTCCATCAGAAGACAAGAGCTTTGCTCCAATGCCCTCTTCCGCCCCCGAGACACCCGGACGGACACAGGGAACTGGAAGAGAAGTTCATCACACGCACCTGTTGAGCCAGTGAACACACGATATATATTCCTTCTCACCGGTGCTGATAAATGGGTGATTTATGGGGTCATCATAAGCAAGAAGAAACCAGAGAAAAGAACAGGCACAGCCAATTCCACCTAGAAAGAAGATCCCATTAGCCCCTGATGGGAGTTCTTTCAGTTTGACTCTGCACTGACATGACTCCTGGGGTTGACAGAATGACCCCAATATTCGACTCCTACCTGTATCTATGCTATGGCCCCATCACTGGTGGAGGGTGCTTTCCCACCACCTGTCTCTACATGATGACAGTGTTGAACAACCCAATGTTACCAGTATTGAGTGGAAATAAAATTCATCTTAAATTTTTCTTTTTCTTTTTCAGAATCTTAAGAAAATCTCTTTTTTTTTGAAGCAGAGTGTAGATTTTATTTTTTTCATGAAAATATTATTTAATCTATAGATTTTATATAAGCATCACCAATTTTCCCAATACTTTTTTTATTATGTTCAATTAGCTAACATACAGTACATCATTAGCTTTTGATGTAGTGTTCAATGATTCATCAGTTGCGTGTAACGCCCAGCGCTTCTCACCACACTTGCCCTAATCGTAATAGCTCTTTTTACTTTCTAGTTTCTCCTTTACACATTGCTTCACAAATAGAGAGTGAAGAGCTACCATAAAGTATAGAACTACCCTACACCAGGCATTTTGTGAGATTTTGAGAGTATAAGAATACAAAGATACAATTTTGCCATCAAGGAACTTAAAATCAAGTAGGGAAGAATAGATACGAAAATTACCACTGGAGTAGGTTGAGGGTGGAGGATGTCAACAGGTATTTTACTGAGTTCCTTCCTTGCAGATATACATTTGTAGCTTCCCTTTCTGAAAACCATGAACAGAGTAAGCCTCTCATGTTGCTTGAATAATTTTTGTAACCTGCCCTTTGAAGTTTCTATGACAAAGCCTTTGCAGGTCACCATGCTGAAGTAATCCATCTTCACACATTTTTTTTTCTAGTGAATATATTGACCTGATGTTACAGGAACCCTTGATATAAGAGTATTATCCTCTAATGGAAGCACCAGTGGTGCTCAGTGGTCTTACTGGAATCACACAGGGTGCAGATGGGACTTCAGAGAACGTTTTAAAACTCAAACACAAACATTCGCTTGCAAGCAGCTGGGCAGACCCCCACCAGGGCTGGGTAAAGGCAAAATTGTGAAGTCATAGAATGCTGCCTCTGGAATACTCCGAGCATCTTTGGGACCTTCTGCAGCATCTCTTAATGCATTACATCCACTCTGGAGCTTCACACGGTTTGCCCTGTCTTCCAGGTTCTACTGGTTGATTCTTTGTGCCAATCAGCATTTTGTGATTAGGTCACAGTCTTACAATATTCTAGTTTTAATAATAGGAGAAGTTTAAAAAATGAATTAAATAAATAAGCATAACTAAAAATATCATCCCACCAAGATACCATTTTCAACATCTTATGAAAGAAATCCCTCTGGGGTTCGTTGTGTGTTCGGTTTAGAAGCAGGACGGAACATTATGATGCTTTTTAAAGTCATTAGGTCATTCTAGCTACGCATCCAGGCTCCTGAGATGTAAATGTCATTTTGCAAGATTTACATGATTAGCTCTGAACATTATCAACTTTAGTTATATAAATAGTCACATCTGTTAGGATTTGGTTAACCATAGAGGACTTGCATCACAAAAAGCATGCCCAGCATTCTCTGTCACAAAACAAAATCCTGAGGGGCGCCTGAGTGGCTCAGTTGGTTGAGCATCTGCTTTTGGCTCAGGTCATGATCCCAGGGTCCTGGGATCAAGTTCCCCATCGGGCTCCCTGCTTGGCGGGGAGTTTGCTTCTCCCTCTGCCCCCCCCCCAACCCGGCTCGTGCTCTCTCTTTCTTTAAAATAAATAAAATAAAATAAAATAAAATAAAAAAACAAAAAAACCCAAATCCTGAGATTTGAGAAGCCCAAACTCACCAAAGATATAGAAGATAGAAGGCCACCCTTTGTCTGGCAGAGGAAACCCCTGACGAGCAAAGTAATGAAGGCTCCCATCAATTCCCCTAAACAGAAGATGTGAGGATGTTTTGGGTGAGAGTCATGGCTGTGCTTTCGAGCAGGGAGACAGGGTAGTTGGAGTATAAGGTCTTGCTTGTGTTGATAGGCCATTGCAGAGCACTCTTGGACAGTGCATACAAGTTGACAATTTAGGGCATCAGTTACCTGATGAAGCAATGTCGATGAGTTGACTCTTTTCTAGTGGGGGAGCCCATTTGACCCAAATTGAATACTGGCTTGTTAATACCATAACCTGGAAAAAAAAAAAAAAGTTCCATTTTTGGCTATCCGAGGTCGTTCTGTAACCAATATCTCACTTATATTTAAAAGCATCTCGGTACCTGGGCTATGCCTTGAACAATCCGCAGGGCAATGAGCGAGAGCCCCCCTGCATTGGCGGCCAATGGAATAAAGAGGGCCAAGACCGAGGAAAGAAGCAGGCGAACACCCACCAAGTACTTGGCTCCAAATAGTCCAGCTACGCAGCCGGTAGGGATTGGAGCCAAGAATGAGCCATAGTTGGTAGAGCGGAGAATGATCCCCTGGATTTCAGGACTCCAGTCACACAGAGGAGCCTACGGGACAAAGAGAACCTCACTGTTCATCTTCAGCCAGAGAGCTGACAGTGTTTATCATGTGAACTTGAGAGGCAAACAAAACAAAACAAAACAAAAACAACAACTGGCAGTTCTCTCTCCTTCTACTTCTCTCCAGTTCCTCCAGTCTACAAATTTCATTAAAAAAAAAACAAAAACCAAAAACCCAAACATATGCCCAATGCACTCTTTCCTTTTACACAGTTTCCCTGGTTACACCGTTAACTGACCCGTTAAGATGTAAGAGATCCCATAAAGAAAGAAAGGTTATAAAGAAGAAAGCATTATAGGCAAGGTAACTTTAAAAATATGTGAAGGAAGAAAGTAAAAGTAAACATCTGTGAAACTTAGGTTGTGATTTTCGTCCTCGTAGGGGAAGAAGGTATGTCCACTAAAGATCGAAGTGGTTTCCTGCATTCTAACTTAGTTCCTGGTTACACTCCTAGACACTAAATAGAGATATAATCTCCTTAGCTCTACATTATGTTCTCATGTAGTATAATTCATTGAACATAGTAGATGCTTAATAAATAACCCTTTAGGTCAAACCATCCTAGTCAGAGAAAGGGTCTGGAGTCTCATTAAACTTACCACTGCCTTAAGTTGCTGTAGAGTTTCATTCCATCCACCCTGGGAGTTGGCGGAAGGCCTTTCTGTGGAGGCATTGAGTGGGCCAGGCCAGGCTGTGCTGTTCACCATAGCTGGCATGGTGATGCTCAGGCTCATCTTTTGGGAGTTAAGTGAAAAATTGCAGAGATGCACAATAAGCGCCAGCCCATGTTGGACTGAACAAAAGCCTGAGATGAAGGGGCACAGAAAGTCTTATAATTGGGGTGCTTTTCTCCCATCTTTCTTAAGTCTGGAAGAGGGAGAAGACTGCAGTCTGTGGAGGAGAAATAGAAATAGAGAGCAGACATTCTCTGCAAGTGGCTGGTGGACACCTGTCCCCCCCGGGAGGTGAAGGGGTCAGTAACTTGCTCAGAATTATTACTTGAGCAGAGACTTGAAGAAGGTGTGGAACTGGCCAGAGCGAGTGTTAGGAAGGTTTTCGAGGCAGGGTTCTGGGATGAGCTCATGAGAGCAGGACTGGAAAGAAGTGAAATTGGACAGAAAACTGGCTGGAGGCAGTGGTCGAGGGGCTACGGATAGTAAGAGAGAGGAATTGCTGGAAATGACTCCCAAGGACCCCACCCTATTACCAGGGAATGAGGCAGATTAGCAGGTCAGGGGCTGGGAAGAGATGAGGCACCAAAGGTAGGCTAGATTGGACTCCAGAAGCATTTCAGCTTCATCTTGATACTGTAATCTGGGCTCGAACAAAATTTGCCAGTGATCCATGAGGGGTCTGGGGTCATCCCTGGACTTGAGTCCAGGTACGGTAGTTTGGCAACAGCTAGAAGGATTGATCGACTGTCCCTCTAGAGAAATTCCAGAAGTGTAATATATGATCCTGTCCTCAAGGCATGTGGGTGCCCCCTTTCCTGGCTCATGCAGGGGGAGCAAACGCAGTTGAAGTGGCCAGGGCTGTCTCCTGTTGTGTGGTGGCACGCCTGTCAAGTTCCAGGAGTGGAGACACAGACCCCCACCCTTGGTTTAACTCGGGGGTGGGGCGGGGCGTTCAGATGAGACTGTCCCCTCCCCCATCCACACGAATTTACATTGGAGTTTTGATCAGCATCTTATAGATGTGTCAGATGGCATTGCGAGGGATTGCCTCACGGAGAGCATTGTCTTCTCCTGGCCAAGAACAGGGGTGGCTCCCTGTGGATTCACGTCTTCTTCTCTGGCCCGAGCTGCATTCCTACAGTTAGTTCTCTTCAGTTAAGTGCCTCGCGAGTTTATTTTTTTTTTTATTATTCATTTGAGACACAGAGTTACAGAGAGAGAGAGAGCAGAGAGCATGAGCAGGGGGAGAGGCAGAGGGAGAGGGAGAAGCAGGCTCCCCGCTGAGCAAGGAGCCCGATGTGGGACTTGAACCCAGGACCCTGGGATCATGACCTGACCAACTGAGCCACCCAGGCGCCCCCCACACAAGTTTCTAAAGAGACTTTTTATTGTTTCTATAACTGAGTCTTCTCCCTATTATTTTCATATTTCCTCTCTCTGGGTTTAGAGCAGAAAACCAAACGCACACATGTGTTAGGTGCTAATAGTGGAAAACAGTGCATGGCTACTTTTGTCATTTGTAACATTTCATCCTCTTGGGTAATTTATTCACTGGCAGTTTGTAAACGGTGTTAAATAGGAGTGGCGAGAGCATATCTGACTTTACTGAGCATGTTTCTCACATCACACCATTAAGTGTTCTGCTGGGACTTGTACTCGTTGGTGGGACCTGCCCTTTTATTGTATGAAGCTATCCTATTCCTGTTTCTTCTTATTTTGATGTGAATGCAGGAGTTTTATGAAATATATTTGAATCATAGAGTCAGACACCTGGATCTGCTCTGTTTACAGCTGTGTGTTCTTGGGCATATTACTGAGCTATTTACAGCCTCAATATTCTACCTGTAAAATGGGGTTAATAATAAAGCCTACCTCAGGTGCTGTGGTGAGAATTGAGTAGGTTTATGTAAGTTCATTATAATTATTATTAATAATATCTGACTGTGCTTACATTCTTGAAATGATCTCTTCTTAGTAGGCTGTTGTAATGAAAACACATGATTTATTTGGTAATATTTTGGCTAGAATTTTACAGTGGCATATATAATTGAATTTGGGTGAATATTATTGTGAATATGTGTGTATGTGTAATTTTTGACATGCTAGCTTTGTAAAGAAAGAAAGATTTTAGGCTTTCCATCTCAATCTATAACCTGAAGTATTTTAGGTATATAGTCATTTCCTTTTTTCTTTTTTTAAGATTTATTTATTTACTTCAGAGACCGAGAATCTCCAGCAGACTCCCTCCTGAGCGTAGAGCCAGACATAGGGCTTGATCTCATGACCCTGAGATCATGTCCTGAGCTGAAACCAAGAGTTGGAGGCTTAACCAACTGTGCCACCCAGGCGCCCCTCATTTTCTTTTTTCTTAATGCACTTTTTTATGTTAGAACAGTTTTAGACTTACAGAATTATTGAGTTCCTTTTTTTTTTTTTTTTAGATTTTATTTATTTAAGGGACAGACACAGAGATAGCAAGAGAGAGCACAAGTGGAGTGGGAGAGGGAGAAGCAGGCTTCCCGCGAAGCAGGGAGCCCGATGCGGGGCTCGATCCCAGGACCCTGGGATCATGACCTGAGCCGAAGGCAGACGCTTAATGACTGAGCCACCCAGGTGCCCCTGAAGTATTGAGTTCCTGTGTACCTCACACCCACTTTCCCATTATGAGCATCTTCTGTTACTATGGTACATTTTTCACAATTGATAAACCTACTGCAATGTATGATTATTAGCTAAAGTCCACACTGTGTTCAGACTTCTTAGTTTTCACCTGATGTCTCTTTTTTGTTCCAGGGTCCCATTCAGGATAGCATAGTTGTCTTTGATTGTTATGTCTCCTTGGGATATTTATGGCTACCACAGTTTCTCAGACTTTCTCTGTTTCTGATGACCTTGATGATTTTGAAGAGTACCAGTCAGACATTTTGTAGAATGTCCCTCAACAACCTGTTTGAAGCAGTATTTGTCAGTTTTCTCTGCTGTGAAGTTGCTCTTGTTCAGTCCCTTTCCATGCTGTGCTCTGCAAGAAGTCACACGCACAGTTCCCACATAAGGAGTGAGGAACTATGCCCCACCTCCTTAAGGCACTGGATACAGAGACATTTTCTGCTTGGGAGATTCTCACCGAGTTTTTTTAGTGAAACCACCAAGACATAATTTGTTTGTTTTAAAAGGGTTAACTTTCTGACACCTCTCTTCACTTCTTGCATGTTTTTTTGAGGTGTGCAATTTTTCTTAATTCAAATTTATAAACGTTATTTCCATAGAAATCATGGACATTATCTGCTTCCCCGTGATTAACACCTTACACATTTGAAATGCTTCTGTCTCCTTTGTCCCCACGATTACATGTGCTTAATATCTCTGCCTGATCAACCTGAGTCAGGAATTATTTTATTGCCGTGAAGGGCATCTGCTGTCCAAGACTCAGCTCTTATATATTTTTCATTGCGATTTCCTTCATGATTTGAGTTTACTTTTTTCTACATTGAGGTTGTCTCTTTTGTTTTTTTTTTAAAGATTTATTTATTTATTTATTTGAGAGAGAGAATGAGATAGACAGAGAGCACATGAGAGAGGGGAGGGTCAGAGGGAGAAGCAGACTCCCTGCCGAGCAGGGAGCCCGATGCGGGACTCGATCCCGGGACTCCAGGATCATGACCTGAGCCGAAGGCAGTCGCTCAACCAACTGAGCCACCCAGGCACCCATCTCTTTTGTTTTTCCACATACTTTCCTTGAAGGTATAGACTCAGTGAACTGGATGCATGATTAAGTTGCTTTCATTTATTCTTATGCAGTCTCTATTTTCTTCCCTTCTTCATACCCATCATCTTTTGAGCCACTTGTCTTGGTCTCCCTCTGCATCTTCCATGACCTTTCTAAGCCTTGGCTCTATCTCACTGATTCGATTTTCTGTAGTGATCATTTCTTTCCTTGCTACCGTTTATTCCATTTTAAGTCTGAAGTCATATGTTTTCCTCTTTAGTTTCCTTTCTCCTCTACTTTGGACTCTTCTTGCACATTTTCCTGTCGATTTACTTCCTATACTCTGAGCTTCTTATTATTCTTGAGATCTTAAATTGGAAATGAAAATATTCTTCAGTTTCCCCAGATAAAATAAGCGCAGCCATGTAATATGCTGGTTAGCAATCAGACTGCTCTGGTGTGAATCCAGATGTCACCTCTTTGTGCTTGGATGACTTAAATGAGTTACTTCCTTTCTGCTTGAATTCTGTCTCCTTCAATGGAGAGGATGCTAGGAGTATCTTCCTTGAAGGAATGTTGTGAGGATTCAGTGAATTAATCCACATAAAGTGCTTAGAACAGTGCCTGGCACCAACCATGCATTTAATATGCCATGATCACTCTTGGATCTAATACATTCCTTTTCTTTTTCTTTTCTTTGTGCTAGCATATTTACACATCCTTCATGCCCCAGTCTTGGACCATAAAGATCAGTCATTTGTGATTTAGTTCCCATGTGTTGAAACCCTTGCCATGTGTGGAAATGGGCCACCTTTGCTGGCCTGAGGCTGCTGCCATGTGGCAGTGACAGTGTGTGATGAGGGGGTAGGTGGCAGCTGGTGGGAGGCAGGAGGAGGCCTTGGAATTCTTTTGCCAGTTCAAGGGAAGTAACTACTCTTCCATTTGAATTTTGCAATGACCTGGTCAATTTTGAGGACAAGTCCCCCAAAATTCCAAGTTAATTTCTGTCATCCTACATGTACTGCCTTGGTCTGTTGCACTGGCCCAAGATGCTAAGATGCAGATCTTCAGAAAGATGAGTAAGCTGTGGATGGGGAAACACAGGATGTGGGCCATGTGAGCTTCACCCGCCATATCCCAGACTCCCCTTGCTTGTGGTGAGGTTGCTGGCCTCTAGACACTGCCATTCAGAGCTAGGGAGCATGAGCCGAGGCTTCACAGTAATGGATGTCCTCCCTTTCTTCCTATATCACTGTACCATGCTCCAAGGAGGAGGCTTTTGTTAGCTCTTGGCAGCTTCTCTCAACCCATCAATGAGCCTTAGAATTCATAGTGTGTGGTAGAACAATTCCCTAGTTTTAACCTGGATGGAGATACTTTCTCCAAGCGGTTGCTTCCTTGTTTATTTCTGGGACTTTCAGAGAGGGATGTTATTGTAGCCTGGCCTCTGGGTGACATTCTTTCCATGGGCTGGGGTATATTCACCTCCATGTGGGCTTTGGATGGGGAGGAAGGAAGCTGTGCCTGATGCTGTTCATGAATTCTCGCTGCCATCCTTGCCCTTCCAAGTTCTCCACAGAGAGACAAATACCTGGAAGTGACAGCCCTCAATCTATCATGCAGACAGACAGGCTTCCAACCATGAGGGCATTCTGGCAAAGTTTGGAAGGCTGAACGTGGTGAGAAGCCATGATGCTGTGAGGTAGCTGGAGACCCATGGAGGAGGATCGGTGATGGTGGACATGGGATTTCTGCCTGTGGCTTTTGAGCGCCCCCTGAAAATCGCCCACTCGGGGCTGCACGTGGTCATCAGAGTGACCCATCCAACCTTACTCCTGGATTTCCCGAAAGGGGCTAATCTGACTTCTGCTTCCCCAGCCTTTCAAAGTCTGTGGAATCTTCCAGTCCCTTATATAAAGCCCCTTTTTTCTTGAAATATCTAGAGTGCCTTCTGTTTTTCTGAGTGAGCCCAGATAGAATCTCACAGGCCTCTGGGAGATAAGGGGATAGGAAGGTCAATGTGGTGGTGTCTGTCCCCACTCTGACCCATGAACCCTTAACTGAGCCTAATGGACAGAAACCACTGACCTCTGGCAGAACCTCAAGGTCCAGCTTTTCCCTGGGTCTCTAGGGGTGCAGGAGCCTAAGCAACTCGATTATGTGGCCAGGTGACTGGATGTGACATGTAATGGGGGAGGGGCATTTCTCTGTCCCACAAAATAGCTGGATTTGGTTCTGTGAGTCTCTTAGAAGTGCAGTCATGCCCAGCAAAGATGTCAGTAGCCTTTGGGGACACGGGGACCTAGAGAAAGCCCCAGCAGTGCCCCGAGGGTGGGAGAAGAGGACCCAGGAGTGCCCAGGAAGTGTGGGCCAGAGAGAGATGGGTGGAAATTGATGTTGGCCACCAACGGATGAAGCAACCAGCAGGGTTTATGCATAAGCACTGTGAGAAATACTTGGAGACTCAACAAAAGAACCAGGTGGGACTATGAAGAGTAGTTGGGGCTCTGCCTTATCAGGCGGGACAAGATTTAGCCAAAAAAAGGATTATTATTAGCATGATGCCATTTGTAATGACAGGTCAAATGGGTTACTAAGGGATTGGATATAGCTGTAGCTCCTGGAGTGTCAGCAGCGGACTAAGCAGCATGGTGGGGTGGATGCCCTAGAAGACTGTAGAAGAAACCAGAAAGACCACATATGAGTCCCACCACTGCCAAAAAGGGGGCAGGAGGGGGGACGCTGTGTGAGAGGTGATAATCATAGTTAAAGTTGATAGAGTGTTTCCTGTGTGCCAGGCACTGTTCTAAGTGGTTTACATATTATAACAAATTTAATTCTCATGGAGATGCTGTGAGGTAGGTACTATTATTATCATGTATTTATGAATAAGGAAACCGAGACACACAAAGTTTAAGTAATTTTCCTAAGGTCACATAGCTCATAAATGGCAAAATCAGGATTGCAAACATGGAAAATTTTTATCTATAAGTTCTTTATATTACTAATTTTGAGAGAGAGTTAGGATAGGAGAATTTGGCTGAAAAACTCTTAACTACTTAGATGTGGATGAGGTTTTCGAGATACAAGAATCAAGCTCTCCCATTTTCCAGGTGAGGAAGCTGAGGCAATGGGATTCATTCCAGGTCAAACAGTTCCTAGTTAACTGTAGATTGAGTATTAGAATGCACATCCCCTTATTTCTCCTTTGATGGGTAAGATTAGGAGAATCCTCTAGTCCTTGAGACATGCTCACTTCCGAGCAGACACACTGGCTGAAACGTTGAGGATTGTAAAGCATGCCACCTTATTAGTGCTTTACTGTTCAAAGATGTTATCTTATGAAAAGTCTATTTCCATAAGAGAATTAATGAATCACGTAATTATGAACCATTGAAAGTGTAGGGGAAAATAAGGTGTTCACCAGGTTTTCTTAGGACATATTATAGAAAAGCACCTGGTTGTGATATAGACAACGTAGAGGAGGAAAAGCGACTTTTGTGACATGGTGGAAAGGAAAAGCCTGTTCTCTTTGAGGCAGGGCAGAGAGACCTAATTGGATGCTCCTGGACTTAGAATCGGAAAACCCAAGACGGGTTTCCGTATTTTCTACCTAGCATCTGCTCTGAATTTTTTCATTCATCTATAAATACTGTCGTGATACCTACCTGTCCTATATACCTTCAAGGTTTCTTGCAAGATGTGAAATAATTCTCCATAAAAAAGGCTTTATAGCTACATAGAGCCCTTGGCAGTTGGTGGGAGCATCATGCTGTATATCACCACAAGGGAAGTCGAGGTGACACAGATACCAGTTTTATCCGTAGCCAGTACATGAGTTTACCTTTCCTGGAGGTTTGCACGTGAGCCGTGTTTAAATTCCCATCACTGGAAATAGCTCCCACTCCCTTTGCTTCTGCTCTAGTAGACACTTTGGTTCTTTTCTCCCAGGGACTGGCGTTCACCTACTGAAATGAAAGAATGCAAAAGCAAATACAGGGCGACAAGTGTCCTATATCACACATGACGCTGCCCCAGTTCTACAAATTAGGAGGAACTATTTGGTGGGAAAAGTGCTAGGTTGGGGTTCAGGAGACCTGATTTGTTGCCCAGACTTATCACTAGACAATTGTGTGACCCTGGGAAGGTCATAGTTGCCCTGGGTATTAGTCTCTGCTTCTCTGAAATGAATGGTCTGGTCTGGACTGCCTTAATGGGTTGTTAATATTCTTTCCAGTTCTGTGTTCCTTTGTCTCTCAACTGATATATGTATCAACTGGATGTTAAAACCTGACAGTCTTCTTTGAAATTTCATCTGGAAGATTCTGATATCTTAAATTACCTGAAAAACTGCGTGTTATAAACATCTAGATATACCAGTTAAAATATGGCAAATATCTTTTTAAATACATAGCTCCAAAGATAGTAAGAGATATCCCCGTGGATGTAATGAAAAGTTTGCAGTATGAACTAACTCTTCAGTGGCCCTAGGACTGGGGTGGGGAGCAGACATCGTTTCAGTGATGCAAGGGTCTTGAGATCTAGGTCCCTAGGGATGAGGGATAAAGCCTTAGACTTCCGCCACGAAGGGGATTATAATGAAGATCCTATTATAGAACCAGAGCCCTCAAAGGGGTTCGAAACTGAGTTAAAGAGGCTCTGTCCATTGCACCAGTGGGACAGTGATAACTTACATCGTACTGAGCTCTGGTTTGAAAAGAAAGAGCCTCTCCTTCAAATTCCAAAAATTTGTAACTATGTCCTGGGGAGTTAGGGGTTTCAATTCACACTGTTTTTATTGTCTGAGAACTCTCTCTCGGCTGAAAAACTGAACTAAGAACTGGGCCCAGGCTGATTTCCTTAACACAGATCACATAGAATTACTGAAGATGAAGCTCTACTTAATATGACTTCCAGATCCAAAATTAGAAACCCTCAGAGAAGCAACCATCCAAGGCAAGTCCTCAGACTCAACACATAGCAGGATCAAATTGCTGAGAACTTCCAAGAGTCAGATAAACTGATAAATGCCTCATATAACCATGCTTAAAATAATTGAAGAAATAAAAGGTCGACTCTAAAACATAAGAAGATACCCAAAAGAACAGGCATATTTAAGAAAGGCAGTACTTGAAATACAAAAGACAAATTTAGGCATTGAAATTAGAAACGAAGTCATTAGTCATTAGACAACTAGCTAATGACTGAATTAATGAAACAGAAGGTAGAACAGAATTATACAGAATAAAGTAATTTATACAGAATAATTATACAGAATATTAAACAGAATAAGTATATTATACAGATTAAACCTCAGGGACATAATGACATATGGTAGCAAAGTTAGGGGACTTGGAAAATAGAGTTGAAAGGTCTGGTATATGTTGAATAAGACTTCTGGAAAAAGAAAATGAACAGAATTGAGGAGAGGTAATGCTTTAAGAAATAATGGTTAGGGCTTTTCCAGAATAGATGGAAACAAGATTTCTCAGATTCAGGAATCACAAGGAGTCTGAAGCCAGAGACATGAAGTTAAAGCTATACCTCGACATAGCATAAGGATCCTGAGGGATACAAAAAGCATGAAACTTACCTGTAACAATACATACCATAAGAGGTCATTGGTGGGGGGGGAGGGAGTCGAAAGTAATTACAGTATGATACCAGAGAAGGGAGCGGTGTTCTTTTTAAACTTCAAGATAATAAAAAAAGACAAAGTATAAGAAAGTGGGTGAAGAGTACATAACTATTAGTACAGTACGTAAACCAGATGAAGAACAGACATGCAGAACGCACCCTGCCTTACTATCAAAGACAGGAACATTAGAAGAACAAGATCTTATTATTTCTTACCTGTCCGCTTCCATAAATATTTGAAAAACTTATCCCTAATTTAGGCAAAAGTGTGGGGAACTAAGCTGTTGTTTGTAGGAGTCAGGGCATCTTTCCATTTGGTATTGCTGCTTCATGGCGTCTACCAGGGAATAATCTGTACAGCCACACAAAAGCATGTCACAAGACAATCCTTGTAGCAATATTTCTAAAAGTGAAAAATTAGCAGCTAACTAATGGTCATTAATGTTTGAATAGCTAAATAAAGTAAAGTACATATATTTTGGAATACTCTACAGCCATCAAAAAGAACTAATAAAACCTATATACATATTAAAGTTTTAAAAGAAGTATTAAGTGAAAAAAGCTAATTGTCAATTCAAAGGGATACATGCACCCCTATATTTATAGCAGCATTATTTACAATAGCCAAGATATGGAAGCAGCCCAATGTCCATCGACGGATGAATGGATAAAGTAGAGGTGGTATATATACACAATGGAATACTACTCAGCCATCAAAAAGAGTGAAATCTTGCCATTTGCAACCATCTGGATGGAGCGAGAGAGTATAATGCTAAGCGAAATAAATCAGAAAGACAAATACCATATGATTTCATTTGTTATTTAGAACTTAAGAAACAAAACAAACAAGCAAAGGGAAAAGAGAGAGAGCGAGAGGAAGGAAAGAAGGAAGGGAGGGAGGGAGGGAGGGAGGAAGGAAGGGAGGAAGGAAGGAACAGACTCTTAACTACAGAGAACAAACTGATGGTGACCAGAGGGGAGGGGGGTGGGGGATGGGGGAAACAGGTGACGGGGGTGCAGGAGGGCACTTGTGATGAGCACCGGGTGATGTGTGGAAGTGTTGAATCACTACATTGCACACCTGCATCTGTACGTTAACTAACTGGAATTAAAATAAAAATTTAAAAAAAGAAAATAGCAAGTTGTAGAACAGTAAGTACCAAGGTAATAAAATAAGTAAAACATATATACATAAAACATTTCATTATGTAATTTACGTGTTTCTAAGTGAGTAGAAAATTATGAAAAGAAAAATCACAACATTAAGACGATGACAGCTCTCCTGTACGTTGTCCTGAGCCCTGGTTTTAAAATTAAGGTACACGGGGCACCTGGGTGGCTCATCTGCCTTCGGCTCAGGTCATGATCTCAGGGTCCTGGGATCGAGCCCCGCATCCGGCTCCCTACTCAGCGGGGAGCCTGCTTCTCCCTCGGCCTGCCGCTCCCCCTGCTTGTGCGCTCTCTCTCTCAAATAAATAAATAAAATCTTCTAAAAAATATTTAAAACAACAACAAAAAACTACCCTAAAACCTGTGGCCACAGTGTCTGGGGCATGGGAATCTTTTACCCTAACAGCTTTACAAATTGTGTGATTGTGTGTGTGTCTGTGAGAGAGAGAGAGAGAGAGAGAGAGAAGGGGACTGGTGCGTGACACCGGCCTCAGAATCCACGGGCACCAGGCTGTGCAGAGCAGAGAAAGGGCCCACGTCACACTGAGAGGTTGTGATGCCTCTACCTCCCCCAGAGGCAAGTGCAGAGATGCGCGGACAGAGAGCTGCAGCTTCCTTCTGAACCAGATGTGGGTGACAAGGAGGGACCCAGCTTACAGCCTTTCAAATCCGGCCCAAGAGAACTGTCTAGAAGGGGCCCCATGACCCCAGAAGAGGTGGAGGGACTGTAGAATGCCCGACAACTGACAGGGGCGCAGTAAGGGAGAGACCGTGGGGTGTCCCTAGTGGGGAACTGTGTCTAAAGGATTCAGAACATCCACCTGAGCCCAGAGAGCAGCAGTGCCAGATCACAAGAGTCCCAGTCAGAAACCATGTCCTGCCTCTTCCCAACCAGCCCTCCATCTCCCTAACCCCCAGCCCTAGAAGGATCAGAAGCCTCAGCTAGCAAGAGGGGTGAGGGGAGGAGCAGACAGAGAAAGGGAGCAAGAAGCCAAACCAAGTGACTACCGACCCCCACTGAGGTCCAAGCTGGAGATGGAGAGAAGCTTTATTTTTTTTTTTAAAGTATAATTAGCACACAGTGGTACTTGAGTTTCGGGTATACAATATAGTGATTCAACAGTTCTGTCCGTTACTCAGTGCTCATCACGACAAGTGTACTCTCAATCCCCTTTATCAATTTAGGGAGAGGCTCTACTTTTAGATGAAGTTTGGAGTTTCGTGCTTTTCATCAGACGGGACCTATTCATTACAACATGAGATTATTTAGAAGCTGAGACTAATGAATGGACTTTTTATTCTGAGTCGCCCTGGTAACTCTGAGAAGAAATCCGTCAAATGAAGGGATGGGATATTTTGCTGTAAAAATAATTTGCTTATCATGTCTGTCCACATTTAGGGCAATTAGTTGAACTGAAAGGAGAATATCAGTCACAGACTTGAAGTCCCAGCTTTCAGACAAACATTTTTTTGCCACGGCGATAACTGTAAGGACTCTTCTCACCTACCAGTGCCTGAGAGTTCACTGACCACTAGTTCATTCATTGATCGAATAAATATTTATTGAACGAGTGAATGGAATGTTATGCTTCCTTAGCTCTTTCTCTTTAAAAAAGAAAATTTATTTATTTATTTGAGAGAGAGAGAGAGCACGAATGGTGGGGAGGGGCAGAGGGAGAGGGAGAAGCAGACTCCCCGCTGAGCAAGGAGCCCCACGCGGGGCTCGATCCCGGAATACTGGGATCATGACCTGAGCCGAAAGCAGACGTCTTTGCTCTTTCTCTTGCATTTATGACTGAAGTGCTTGGTTCTCATTAAATTGTCCCCCCTCTATACTTACTATGACAGAAGCACATGTCGGGTTGTCTGGTAACCAGCATTGATGTCTCACATACTGTCCACGGCTGCCTCCCTTGCCCTACATCAGATTTGTCCTGCCTTCATCCTCCACTGCCAACTCCCACTGCCTCGCCAACCCCAGCGAGGCCTCTGGGAGAGGCCAGTATGAAAAGGAAAACGTGAGAATGACATGCTCTGGAGAAAATGAGAGTCACAGTGACGGCCACTAGGTAACTAGCAAGAAGAGGGCAGCTGCTTTACCTGGTTTGGGAAAGGTCTATTTGAGCTAAATTGGGAATGATGAGAAGAAAGGAGCTCTGAGTAAAAGCTTTCCTGGCAAAGGAACCAGCAAGTGTGCCCAGTGCTAATGCAGAGTGAGTGAGAAGGTTGATATGGGAGAGGAGACCAAAGTGGTAGTGAGGGGCCATACCATGTGGGGCCCTACGGGCTGGGTAAGGGGACTGGATTCACCTGGCTGCTGGGTGATGCATGATCTCTACGGGGCAAGACTGGGAACCAAGAGAGTCAGGAAGAGGCTGTGGTGGTCACCTAGGCAAGAGTTAATGTATGGGGGAGTCTGGTCATGGTACAAAAGACCAGACTGGGGATCTGTTCTGGAGTGAAAGCCAACAAGAATTGCTAATGAGGTGGGTAGGAGAAGAGAGAATGGGGGAGATCATTGGAGACTTCTAGATTTATGGCTTGTACAAATAAGTAAATGGTGTTATGCTCCATAGAGATGGGAAAGCGAGTGGGAGGGAAGCAGGTTTCCAGAAGAAAAAAGAAGAGTTTCATTCTGCGCTGTTGGGTTTGAGTTGCTTGTTAGACCCAGAAGGGAAGATGGCCCAGTAGGCATGGTGTCTGTGACTCTATAGCTTGAGACAGGGGCCCAAGGAGAAATATAAATTTGAAAGTCATCACTTTTATCTATTTACTTACAGACTAAGTAAATGAGGAACAACCTGCAAAGATATTGAATGAGTCATTCTATCAACTTACTGTCCGATTCCCTGGCCAAGACTGATTCTGTGTCTATTCTTTGCACGAACCCTTGTCTTGCTCTTCTGCTCTTCACTAGTTCACTGTGGAGTGAGGCTTTTCCTTAAGGTCCCGCACTGAGCCATTAGTAGCTCACATGTTTTTATATCTGTCTCAGCACTGAACATTTCCTCCATATAAGAAGTAGCTTGTGGCTCATATTCGTAGCTCCAAAATCAGAGTCCTCTGCCCCAAACTCTTCACCCAATAACTACGTCCCAAAGTCATGGGATTCCATTTGCATAAATTCACTGGAGAGGTCTCATCTGTTTTGATTAATTTGATCTTTTAGCCCTGATAAAAAACTTCCTTTGCCAGAATTCAGCTTTTACATTTACTATCTCACCACAGATGTGGTCAGTGCTTTATTATTATTACTACTACTATTATTATTATTAATGCATCCCACAAAAATAAGCCCAATATCTGAATCTTAAGCTGAAGGTATCTAGTCTGGTCCCAGTATTTGGGTGATGTTAACCCTTAAAAGCGTAGTTTAAAATTGCTGGTTCACTTCCACGTGCTTCAGATAATTCAGACTCTCTGTCTCTGCAACTATTCTTTTGGATGGATTTATTCCCTGAAGTTTTATTCTCTGGAGTTCTGGCTCTTGTTTCTTTTAGGATAAGGTGATATCCTCTCTTACTTCTCAGAATTATCTTAGGAAAGAGGAGTTCTCTTCCCCATCCCACAACGTCCACCCCAGAGCAACAAATGAAAGAAAGACCCCTTCCCATCATCTCAAAAGCAGAATATTAAGGGGAAAGATTGAAGACTAACCTGAGTGAGTTAGAATGTGTGGTCGGTCCCTCATTCCTTTCCAGTAAATTCCTTCAAGCTTTTCAAAATTTTCTACATTGCCCTACACTCTCAGGAGGTA